CTCAACCCCAGGGCAACCTAGCAGAAGCCATCAAGACCTCTTTAATCGCCACAGACCCGAATGCCCAAACCCGATACCCAGAGAGCCCAATACCCCTTAATTAAGGAATATACCTTAAATCATGATATTAAGGCCCTTATAGTTTAAGGTATATTCCTTAATTAAGGGGTTTTGGGGTCTCTGGATCTGATGGAGTGTAGTTACCCATAGGCCCTAAAGTAGTTCCTTTTTGAGGTTCATGTATAGAATCCTATAGGGTAATCCCGAAAAGGAACTACTATGGGGCCTATGGGTAGGTTCTATGGTGTTGTGTGTTGCTTGGGGGGTGGCTGTCGGGATGGCACCTGTGCTGTAGTTCTGGTATCTGGAACATCCTCCATGTGGGGGTTCGCGGAGATTTTTCATGTAATCTTAGCTTATGGAATATGCCCGAAAATATCCGCTCTCCATGGTGTGCTCTGCCCTGTCAGAACATGTTCACATGCCCCGTCCAGCCAACGCTACGGAATAGGATGCCGTGCCACAGCGAATGCATATGTCGGATTTACGTAATGTAACATAACACAACAAAACTAACATCACATCACATGGCGCAGCACAACACAGCATAACACAGCCCATCACAATATAACACAGCATACCGCAACATTACACAACACGGCACAGCACAACACAACACATGGTATAACCTACATGTTCTACATGCATGCACACACATGCATACATACATGCATGCATACATACGTACATGCATACGCACATACATACGTAATGACGTAATCACACAGACATACGGACAGACGGACGGACAGACGGACAGACGGACCGACGGACAGACGGACGGACAGACAGACATACTCACAGATTCATAAGCACACACACATACATGCATGCATACGTATTATGTACATACATACAAATATGCATTCCCACACTCCCACATGCATCCATAGATGCATGGATGTAAACACAGAAAAACCGCAGGAAGTGCCAGGACTGCTAGGACTAATGCCAGTACCACCAGTTCACATGACGTTCCGGCAGAGTCCCGACTTCCCCCTAAACCCTAAACCCTAAACCCTAACACCCTAACACCCTAACACCCTAACACCGTAGCCGAGCCTTCCGGGAGGTCGGTGTGAGCTGCGACGCGGATGTTTTGGTGGATCCCAACCTCCTGTGCTTCGGCGGCTTAGGGTTTAGGGTTTAGGGTTTAGGGATCCCAACCTCCTGTGCTTCGGCAGAAGAGTCCAGGGACCTTGGCTTAGAGTCGGCGAGGAGATTCACAGGTTTCCCTCCGAAGTCCGGAGGATTTGTCTCAAAAAAAACCTATAAGTAGTATAGGGGCCTCTGAATAATTAAAAATACTATTTGGGGGGTTCCTTACTATATTTATAGTATCATCGGTCCCCAAAAACCCGCTATTCCAATTATTAAAGGCCTATATTACCATAAGCAAGCGTTGCCCACCCCAACGGCTATCTCTACGGGTGCCGAGATTGCGGTGTGTTCTTTTATAGTTCAATGGTATGGTTCCGTTGTGGCTATCCTTTCACAAACGTGACTGCATTCTGCTTACGTGTTTTGTAGCGACTTTCCTGCATGCTGGTGTTCTGCCATCATAATCATTGAATCATAGTCAGAGTCATGCAGTTATATCATAATCGTAGTATTTCCAGTATCTTACCAACAAAGACAATGAGAACCTCCCACTACGGCTACAGGCCAGAAGCCGCCAATATAATTATTCATGTTGCGGGGCTTGGAGCTGTGACCAGGAGCAGCAACTTCAAATGGAATGAGCTAAAACCCCAAAAAAGCTCTAAACGCCTAAACCGTTCTGAAAGCGGTTGCAGAAATCCGACAAGCCTCGAGCTGAAACTCCGTTAACCCCGGATTCAATCAGGTTCAGCAAACCCTGAACCCAAGAGCCTTGAGCATCCTGCTGCCCTCATCGCTTCCCCCGGTCTTTTCGAAGGCGTTGCTGGTCATGGTGTTTCTTCTTCTTGGAGATGTGGGTCAGCAATTTTTGCAGCCCTGCCAGCACTTTAGTTTGGGACGAGGGGCTGATTTTGGCTGTGCTTGCTGCCAGTGTAAGGCAACTGTGTCCTGAAGTCCACACTCCCTACTCTCGGCACTGGCCCCTGCGCAAGCAGCACGTCACAATCCGAGGCCTCTGCCTGTGCGTGGCCAGAGGTGATTGGCTCCCTCGAAGCACCTAAACCCTAAACCCTAAACCCTAAACCGGGGCTCAGTGGAGAGGTTTGGTCTAAGTTCTGCTGCGATTCTGGGTGCCCGTATGAGCCATACTCTTTGCGAATTATGGTAGATAGCTTATTATGTGTAATACAGGCTTTATATAGTCAACCGTAGTTGTTTCTTAACACCGTCGTCGCACTGAAGACGGTACTATAGGGGCCTTAATAACTACCTATACCGTTTTTGGGGGTTCCTTATTGCGACTGTAGTATATTATGCCCCAAAACCCGATTCTAATTGTTAAGGCCCCTCTAAACCCTAAACCTTAAACCCTAAACCCCATGTTACCACATGTAGAGCACCCCCGAAGTGACTTCATCTTGCCCCTTGCGCCGGCCTCTGGGACACTAAGGGAAGAGTGGCTCAGGCCCTGGGGTTTTTATTTTCCGCGGGTTCGGGGTTTAGGGTTTAGGGTTTAGGGTTTAGGGTTTAGGGTTTAGGGTTTAGGGTTTAGGCTGAGAACTGAGGGCTGAGGGCTGAGGGCTGTCGTTACCGCTGTGATGGTTGCTGTTCTTGGTCGCATGTTGACGGGAGCCTACTTTGAAATGACCAGCAACCAGCAACTTAGCATTGTTTGTGGTTCTTGCGTTTCATACCGTTCTCACTTGTTGATTTTATGCTCGCTACTACTGCCATAGCGAGTTCCATCAAAGATAAATCCGTCGCGCTGGTGCGATGAGCAAGACGACTAATGATTAGCGCAACAACCATCCCCCAACCCCTACTTGGCTCTACACCCTGAATCCCTTCACGCCCTAAAGCCACCAACGCTATTTTTCATTATAGCTCCGAGGAGCATCTGCTTCCTCCTGTCACTGCCGCACTTACTGCTGGTTGGCATGGAGGCTGGGGTGGGGGGCTGGCAGCCGATAGGGAGAAAGAAAAGCAAACAGCTCAGACCAATACCCGAGACCTTAACGAAGCATTGTACAAAAAAACGGTAAAGCCAAGTTTAGCCAAGGCACGAAACTTAGGAACCCCAAAAAAGGACATAAGCGTAAGCATTCTATAGGGATATCCCTACCTTCTTGGGCTTCATTATAAGGGGGGGTTTATATGGGACATCCCTATCCTAATTTTTGCTTTATGTGCAATTTTGGGGGGTCCTAAAAACCCCAGAGCCCGAAGTCTGAAGGCTGCGCCGTACCATCCTGAAGCTCATTCCCAGAGTGAGAACCCAATACCCCTTAATTCAGGATCATACCTGGAATTATAGGAGACTTAATATTATGATTTAAGGTATATATTCCTTAATTAAGGAATATACCTTAAATTTATAGGGGCCTTAATATTATGATTCAAGGTCTATTCCTTAAATAAAGGGGTATTGGGGTTCTCTGGGTTGTCCAGGCTTCGACCGGGTTTGACGAAAGGCTGCTCCAGATTTCTAGGGAACACAACGCTCGCTCGGTCTATCAGCCTAGGTATTGCCGTACACCACACACCCCAAACCCTAGGCCCTGAACTTCTAGGGCGCTACAGCAGCTTCACTCACAGCATTCAACCTAGTGCTGAAACCCACACTCTTTTGGTTGAGCTCTCTATCCTGGCCTGCAATCGAACGCCCCAGAGGCTCCAATAATTCTTTATGGACACTTGATGAAGGCGCTACGAACCCGATACCCTGAACCGCAATCCCTACCTAAACTCAAAAACCCCAGTTGGCCGCGGAGAGGTTGAGCTGATCAGCCGCGACTGGGCCTTCCGCCGAAACCTCTTCACCCTGCGCCGGCACTCGCCGCTGCGCCCCGGCGAGCACTGGCTCAGGGCTAGGTGTAGTGTCTGGGTATAGGGATAACTAGGGGTTTAGAGTCAGGGGTGCAGGGCTTAGGGTGAACGGTTGTGCGTTTCATCTTAGGGTCGCGTGCCGGCGAGGCCATTATGTCTGTGACAGAAGGGGCTTATCCGAGATCCTGTCGAAGACACCGCTGTTTGCAGCGACATTTCCATTGCTGTTGCAGTATTTTTCCATGAGGAGGATGAAGACTGTTTAGCTACTGTCCACATTACAATCTGCCGCAAGTACATCAAGTAGTCTCTCGCCACCTTGCCTGGGCCAAACCCCATGCCCCTCAAGTTGCACAGCGAATCCCAACCTCTAAGCCATAAACCCTGACCCTTGCATGATATTGGGTCTGAGTATTGGGAACACAACAGTGTCCCCTTCTAGTCCCTGTGTATATAGGTCTACTATGATATAACATACTATCCTCTCGACTTTGTTCTACTTATGAAGGCCCCCTATACAAGATCAGCCCGTAAGAGTATAGTAGGCATTGTAATAAATTTTAGTATCCTTACAGTCGCCGTTTTTGCAACCATGATAGTCACCCCTAAAACCTGAAGCTTGCATAGACCAGCCCGGTTTAGGGTTTACCTATAGTCTGCATTGTAGTTCCTTTTTGGGGTTGCTTTATAGGATCCTACATTTAAAACTGGTTTAACCATAAAAAAAGGACTACATTGGAGACTGTAGGTAGGGTCTACCGACCGCTCCAGGAAAGCGTTTTTCTTCAAGTACATCGTCTTTGCCGTGTTCGGATTGCTGAGCTGCCTGCCGGTGGTCCGCGGGGGACCCAGGTGCTTTCCTTGTTCTCAGGTTTCTTGGAATCCTCCCTAAACCCTAAACCCCTAAACCCCTAAAACCTAAACCCCTAAACCCCTAAACCCCTAAACCCCAAAACACCAAGAAAGGGCCCAAAAGCGTGAAGCAGCAGACCCTGAGACCCGACGCCCTGAACCCCTCCCCGACTTTAGTGGAGAGGGGAGCACGTTGAAGATTCTAATACAGAGGATACCTATACGATTTTGGGGAGCCCCTTACTAAAACTACGGTATGAGATACCCCAAAAACTTATTCTAGTCATTATGGCCCGGGGCTGAGTTGGCAACAATTAACCTTGTCGGGCTTATATAATCCTGCTGTAGTCAAAAGGTTAACCTCTTGTTTGGGGCTGGAGTACTCAGCCCAACCTCCACCGTAAAACCCTACGCCCTAAACCGCTCGGACCGTAATTCCCAAGCTCGAAATCCCCCAAACCTGCGATGCTTCCCCTCGCCAAGCATCTTTGGCTGAGGCGCGCGCCAGTGCTGGAAGCAGCGTGGGATGCGCCCGTCCTTGGTGGACGAGATCGAGGAGCATCAGAAGGGTTCAGGCTGAGCCAAAGCACGGGATGCCGGCTTGAATTCCAATCCTCAGCTTACTCCTCTGCAGGCTGGGTTTCGGGTGCGGTTCCTTTAAGGGTTGCGTAAAGGGCTCCTGTGAGGCGTACTATAAGGGCTCCTTTTACGGGTTACTATGAGGGTTCCTTCCTTTAAGGGTTACTATAAGGGCTTTCGGGGTTTAGAGCTCAGTCCTCTAAACCCGCATTTGCTCTGTATTTGTCCGTCATCTTGTGGTTAGCCAGTATGCCTGTCACGTTGCTTCTCCCAGCAAGCAGTTGTTGACAAGTATGTGAGGAAAGCCTAAACTCCTAAAGGGGCGCTATAATCTCCGACAGCCCTCGAACATCCTACAGGCTTCTACGCCATAATACTTGATTTTATTATCAGCTCTATGTAGTCATCTTCAGATACCGTACTTGTGACCCTGCTAGATGGAGAGGGCCCCTTAAGCACAGAGGCATTTGACAGGAGCCGATACCTGCACGGATGCGTTACAACACCCCATGAAAGCTTCTAGAACATGTTGAAGATGTGTGGCCACGTTTCACGGAAGGAGCCCAGCGCCACAGATTCGGCCCGCTTTGATAGCCACGTCCCTTGTTCGCAGAGTTGGGGTAGGTCGCTGAAGATGCAAGATAATTGAAGTTGGTATTTGGTACGTCTAGTTACCGTTGCAACATTACGTTGGCCATGTCTGTAAACAGGATGGTGGATGATGGCGATGATGATGGGGGTGGTGGTGGTGATGATGGTGATGATGATGATGATGATGAAGATGATGATGGAGATGGCGCACGTCATGATGACAGAGGTCATTTAGGGTCTGCGTGGCCGTGGCTGTGGTGGTGATGATTTGGGTGATGATGCGGATGCCAACGGTGATGACAGTGGTGGTGCTATCAAGCTGCAGACATCTGCAGACAGTCTTGCTGGTGATATCGAAGATAGTCCTATTGCGTTTGCTGCCGCTGCTGCGCCTCTCCTCCTACTTCTACTGCTTCCTTAGCCGGCCTTAAGAAATTCAGCTGCGACAGGAAAGTCCTGCCTGATGCTGTACGCAGGATGTGTTCGGCTGAATGCTGTCATCATGGTAGGGCTGGTACCCCTCTGCCCCAATGGAGAAGCTCAGCCATGAGAGCCGCCTGAAGATCCCAGCAAGTTTCATGGGGCCCACAAACAGCTCCAGGTAATGCTGGTGACGAATGTGCCCCGGATCATGGTGCTTCTCTATGCTTCCACCTGCATTTCAGCTGCACTTGGAATGCCCCAAAGTTGTCAGGTTTCCGGCAATCGGTGCATTTGATCCAGGCACACGCAGAACGTAGGGAAGCCTGCAGATAAAGTTGCAGACGGCTCAGTCGCAATCTTCCATGAACTGTTATATTGCCTTCCTGGAAGCTCCCCAGACTGTTGTTGCACTTAGAAGTAGAAGTTCCCATGCTTCTGTGACTCATCGAACAACAGGAACTTCGATTCATCTAAGGCTCGAGCTATGGGCCCCTACCATGGAATTTTGGCCCTTTGGGCCTGTTCTAGAGACCCTGAAGGGTGCATAGAGGCCTTTGATTCAGGTCCCTTCCTGCGCAAGATGTCGGGGCCCCTGCCCAGCATTACCCCTCCCCATCATGGGCCGGTCCGGAAGCCTTGCGAAGGGCAAACTTTCTGAAAGCCGAAAACACGGAAGGTCCGCCGACACACTTGATCCTAAACCGTACCCTCAACTCGTATGTAGTCTCAGAGCCCGGAACTTGAAACCCCGAGTCCTCATTCCCTACACCCTGAAGCTCTCAGCCTAAGCCTTCAACGGCAGGTCTTCTGTACTCGAAGCTGCAGCTGTCTATTCTCCTCTCTATGGCCTTCCTGTCCCTCGTGAATGTGCTGCAAGCTGCCGCCTCCAGACTGATCTAGCCTTGGGTTTGGGTTCTGTGGGTCAGCAACATCTACTTTCACTGCTCTTATTCGTATTCCTGGTTCTTGTATAGTTTTCACTACCGTCGTTTGACGGTTGTATTTACCTGGTGGTCGTATATAATTTTGTGCTTAGCAGTTGTCCGGGGGCGGGCGGAGATCAGTAGCAGCAGCAGCAGCAGCAGCAGCAGCAGCCGGAGCAGCAGCCGGAGCAGGAGCAGGGGCAGGAGCAGGAGCAG